AGAAAAGTTCCTGTTCTCTATTAAATAGGATTTACACAGCCATCTGGTGTTCTGTTTAATTCTCATTTATTTATTTATTTTAGACCCAAATTTGTGTGTCTTACTGTTAATTAGATTAAAACTCGTGAAAGAGAAAGGTGCTCTGGCTTTGTGATGGCGATGGGCTGCTGAGGAAACAGAGGTGGGCATTCAGCATTTGCAATTAAAAGAATACAGCAGCAATAATTCTGACACTGGGAATGGAGGAGAATGAATGTCACCTCCTATAGAGAAGCAACAGATTTAGACCTAAAGGTAAATGTCAACATATAAACCCCCTGCCAACATTAAAGGATGACAAGAAAGGAGCATAGCAGTACAGACAAAAATGAGAACAGAAAATATGAGGGGGTCTGTAAAGCTGATATACACCAGTAAGATGTTTTTGTTGTATTACATCACAAATTTCATCAAAAATGGCATTTTCACAATATTGGCTGTCCAAGGGAAGAGTCCAAGACAACTGTTCCTTGTTACAGCATCAACAAGATGCTCTGTAGCTCTTCCTCCCCTTGACTTTTCTCCTCCCTTTGCCTGAAGCCTTGCACTGCTGGAGGACACATAAATCAGTTCTTGACTGCAGTATGCAAGTGTGAAGCTTAGCTAAATAATATCAGGGGAGACAGTAGTAAATCTGCAACACAACTCTAACGTGGACTAAAAGCCCCTTTCTTGGAAAGAATCCAAGACTCAGCAAATGTTCAAATGTTTGCAAATTGTTTGTTTTGCTCTTGATAAACCGTTCCCCTTGTAATTGTTTCTGAGGAATCATGAATCGTTAAGACAGTTAATTTGAAGGGAGAAATGACTCTGGAGAACTTGAACAGAGGACATTGAGTCCAGTTTTCCAAGAAACCTGGGGTACAGAGTGATTATTTAGTTCTTTCAGAAGGGGCAGAGAATTAAAGCCATACAGCATTTTTAAAGACCACTTTGTAAAATACTATAATTTTAGCTTTCTCCTTGCTGGGAAACAAGTACCAGCAGAGTTTCTTAATTCTTCAATGACCTTCTGTATAAAGCCCTTCAATTATATTAGAGCCTTAAACTTCCTTTCTTTCCAGGATCTCATACGTGCTAGTAGCACGTTTTGCAGAAAAGAAGGAAGAAAGAAAAAGACAGACAGGTGAGGCCAGGAACTTTTAATGCTTTCTTGAATGACTTTCAAAGATTAATCTCAAATTTTGTAAATTAGGAAAAACAGATAATGATCAATGCAAACTGCATCCTTTCAACTGAATGGAAATCTGTGTTATTTTGGAGTAGCAAAAATAGCAATGTAACAAGGAACTCTAATGGGAAACACAAAGGAAAAAGTGCCCAGCAAGATGATTTAGGGCCTGGACAAAAACCTGTTGTAAGTACCAGCTGCAGGTTTACTAAGTGGAGGAGGTAAGAAGGCTTCAGTCCTCTTTTTAGCCCTGATATGAGTGTAAGATTTTCCTGCACTGATAGGGTGTGATAATGAACAGGTCAATGAACATTCAGCAAAAGTGTCGGTTGCCTCCAGACTTGGGGATTTTCAGGCAGGGATTTGTCCTTCAGAAATAAAGATAGAAGAATCAGAGTGGTTTGGGCTAAAAGCAACCACAGGGTTGATGCCTGAACTCCCTGATGTGCAGGCATGACATGCTCTGTACAGGCAAGGGAAAATAAACTCCATAAAATGCAAGGTGATGGCTCTCAGTGTCAAAACTCAGATGCAATTGCTCTCCTGCCTGAGGATGGAAGCCCTTGATATCTTTCCCAGACTTTGGAAACAAAAAAATGTGATAAAATATGGACTGCATCAGCAGCTGTAAAAGTAAAATCATGGATATTAGATAATAATTTTCAATATAAATTGTCCTCTGTACATTTTCATCAAAGAAAGCCTACAGCAGGTACTTGAAGTACTAATATGGAAATATGAATTAAGAATCTAATAGTAGAAATAGATTATTTAAAAAAAACCCAAACAAATATTTCTTAAAATTTTAGATGCAAATGTAAAAATTTAGTCTGGATAGCAGCTTAATGAAAAATCCCCATATCAACTAGAATCTCTTTAGTTTTGTTTTCTTAGACCACTTTGAAGTCCCTCAAATTGTCTTGTGTAAGATTCTTTTGCCTGTGCAAGGGAAAGAAAGAATATAAAATAATCCAGGAGCTCTCTGCTTGTTTAAGTAAGAACATCTTTGTTTTTCTGGCTCATCTGGAGCTTGCTGAGCTGAAGAATGCAAAACTGCCCATCTGAATGTTGGTGCTAATGGTAGAGGTTGAGAGCAGGGGTAGTGAGGTCAGCTCTAGTCCCTTCATTAGCCAAGCTTCCAAGATGAAAAATATGGTAAACACAAGTGGCAACAATGGGAAAAACCAACAGCCACCCGTGTGTCTGGACTTGTCCTGGGCAGGCAGCACTCTCAGACCAAGTGATGGGCTGTGGGTGGGATGTCACCTGGTGTGCCTGCCCCCCTCTGCCTTTCACACTTGGAGGACCACACGTGATCTTGGTTATGCCTGTGGGTCTCTGCATTATCTTTGAGAAAAAAATCACTTGAAATTTACAGAATCTGTCCAAGAACTGATTTATCAAATATGTATAATAATCCACCTGCCATCTCGCCCCCTTCTATTACAGGATTTTCTTAAATTGAAAATAGTTTTCAAAGCACAGGGTTTGTATACATAAGCCTAAATATCTCTCAGCTGGATAAATGTTTGTACCTGAAATGTATTGCCTCTTAAGGAAATCATTACTGTGTTACCATAACACAATCTCCTTGTTCAGCAAGTGTGATAAATATCAGTCTGTTATTATAAGTCACTGCCAATAACCAAAGCCATTTATCTGAACGTGTCTCTGCCTCCCACAAATGGAACTATCTCACTTACAAGTTAGCAGTTAAATGCTCATTTTGCACATAGACACCTGCTGGAAAGAGTATTCTGAAAAATGGTACCCTGAGAGTCAACATGAGCTTGACAAATCTTTATGTTCACGTTCTGTAATTAGTTTAACCATTATCATCAGCAATCAACAAGGTGCTGTGATCCAGAAAGGATGCTCAGTCTTCCTGGGCATAGGAAGATATTTATACATAAAAAGATCAATTATACCTGACTCACCACAGATGCTTTAGGTCAGTATTCATGCTTTATGGAAAGGTGCACATATATATAAAGTAAAAAATGGAGGAAACGTTCCTCTGAAACAAACTAAGGCAGGATGAATGTGCTCAGAGCAGCACAGTAACTAATGACAATTCATCCCCAGCTAAAGTTCTTAGTATCTGAAGGATGACACAAATATTTAGAAAAATAAACAAGCAAAGTAGTGTAGAAGACTTCACACATTGAAAAGCCTTGAGTGTCTGGCCAACTGCATGACAATTCTCAGATCACAGGTCACTGAGGACTATTTCTTGATGAGGTGCTCTCAGGGAATTTTAGATGAGTTCATTTTCTGCAAGAGCACCAGAGCAATTTTGGCCTCCTGTTACTAAAGCAACAGCTTCAATAACTAAACTTGACCCAGCTTGTTAAAAGGCATCCAAGAATGAACTGAGGTGTTATGCTCAGTCTTGGTGATGGAACGATGCAGAGACACAACATCCTAGGAGGAAATATTTGGCTCCATGCTATGTGCTCCTGCATGAAAGCAATTCATTTCAAATAAGAGTTTTAAGATTCTCTTTAATTAATGTCTTTCATAACAGGAAAAGACCTTCTCTAGCCAGCACAGCAGCACAGTCAAGAGGCAAACTGGAGCAGGTGGTGGGTTTGGGAGGAGGAAAGAGAGAGCAGATGTTAGCTTGAAAATTTGGAATGCTTTTCAAGTCCCATAGCAGGAGCCCAGTTTCCATCAATGCATATTGTAGGAGCAATTAATTGGGACCACCCAGGCCTAGGATTTGCCAGAATCAAATTTTCCATTCACACAAAATACTTCTGTAAAGCTGAATGTTTGTTTAAAATACTCCTAAAAGTCATTCAGTGTCTGTGTTATTCCTTAAAATATACAATTTCCTTCTGTCTTGTAGATCTGGGGAAATGTGAAATCTTACAATATGGATCTGAAGCTGCAGGAGAGTAGAAGTTTGGAATCTATTACTTTTTATCAATATTTATCTACTTTCACATGCTTCCAAAGAAAAATCAAAATTCCAAGTTAATTAGAAATTGGATTTCGAGGGTTTGATTTAATTCTAAATAAATTTATAAAACTTCCTTTTTAAAAATCTGAAATCCATTTTCCATCACACTACAGTAAAGGGTCTTGACTGACAAAATTGCTACTTTATTGTATATATTCTTTCTGTAGCTTTATAGAAAAGGTAACATTTTGGATGGTTCCAAGTGGCTTTGGAGACTAATTAACATGAGAGATGGATCAAAGTGGTCAGGGATTGTTTGAGAGCAGACAGGTGAGACAGGAGACTTGGTCTGCTGCCTTCAATCAGGCTGCAAGGTCCAGCTATCTTCAAAATTGAAGTAGAATATGCAGTTTAAGGAAAGACAGATGGTTTGGGAATAGTGAGGATCTGGACTAAATGATCTGCTTTTATAATTTGTGGCCAAAGATGCCCCAGCACTTGTTAGGTTCATCCCTAACCTTCATGTAAATCACAATGAAGGAAGACCTTTAGTTTGGTAATGAGTTTTGGTCCCTGCTGAAGCCTTCAGAGGTTCAGAGTCATAAGAAGCACCATGCTCTATGGGCAGTCCCTTGGGCCATCTATACATCCATGTCCATCACTTTAAAATAAATCCCATACCTGCTGTAACTTGCCCTTTGCAAATTAACCTTCTCCATATTAAAGTATGTGATAAAATGCAAATCAAGCCATAAAATGTAAAATTCTAGGGATAGTCCTGGTCCCATTAAATCTATTCTTCATTCGTTACTTTTCAAGTGACATTAAAGCAGCTTAATTTAGGTGTAAAGACATTTTCACCAGGCACCTAAAGAAACAGCTTACCTTTTTGACCTCATATTTAATGGCAAGTTTAATCCTGCTCAGACTTGGCCGGTGGTGCTCGGGGCACAAATGTATGTTCACATCTCCATTCAGAATAGCCTCGACTTCTTCTGTGTCTCTGCACAGGTCCAGCACTCCCACCACAAAGTCCTTGCATTGCATAGATAGCTTCCTATAGTCATTCTGATGGAAAACAGAGGAAAAAATGAGCTGTTTGAAGGCATGCTTCAAGCGAGCAAACTAAAAAAGCAAGAGAGAGACATTGTGAGCAAGGTGACCTCTGCAAAACTGTTGACTGGAATAGTAAGAAAGCACTTGATGTCACCCAGGATGTAGTTGGCTTTCACAAGGCTACATTAACTCCTCCAGACTTAATTAGCAATTTTTCCATCAGCAACGTAGTTTACGTTACAATAGAGGATGTTTTACAGAACAATCAGTTTATAAGTTATTATAAATTATAATAAATTGCAAGTAATTTATAGAGAAATTTTGATTTTCAGCAATTGCTTGATCTTTCCTCTCTGTGTAGCATGTCTTCTAGGAATGTGAAAAGACAGTCAAACAAAACTCCTCCAAATGAGTTAGAATTCACAGCAAATTTTACAACTTACATTCCTTGCTAGTAATTCTTTAATAACATTCAAGGTGTTTCAGACTGGCACAACAAGCTGGAACACCACACACAGATGAGCTCAAATAAATTACATAGCTGCAATACCAATTTCAGTTCCAGATTTATTACCCAACGATTTGTTTAAACAGTCCTGAAAGAGCATCCAGAGGATGATTTTTGTCATAACACTTCTCGAGGAAATAGGACTTCAGAAACTCAACATGATTTCCTATGAAATAATTTCACCTTGCAAATCCAAATTACACTTATGGGAAAAGAGATAGTATGTAGCTGGCTTCACAGAAGGCTAGAAAAGCAATTTCACTGCCTTAAATTAAATTGTGATTGATTTCCACATGCTGACACTTAAAAACATGAGAAAAATGCCACCATCTGAGTAAATGCCATAAATTAGAACACAATTAAGGCTATCATTAATATCCTAACAAAATGGTAATACGAAAGATTCAATGCAACAAATGGAAGTAATAAGCATATGACAAGCTCTTACTGACCTGAGAGATCTTTTCAAATGAGGTTTGATGAGTTAATTAAATTCAGCAGCTTATCTAATTAAGCCAGCAGCCAAAAAAAAGA